AAGTTGTAATTGAGTGTGTTGCTAACACTTTATTTTATTTTCTAACAGGAGGTCCTATCAGAGTCACTGCCAAGTCACAACCATGAATGGGTTCCTCTTTTCAGTGGATCATGAGAAAATGGAATCTTTTTGTTCTGATAGTTTAAACTTTCAGTTGTCACTCTTTATGCCAAGTCTTATTTCTGTACATAAAATTGCATGGAGATAAAAAGTATTTTTTCAAGTTGTAAATAATTTATTTAATATTTAATGGAAGTGTATTTATTTTACAGCTCATTAAACTTTTTTAATCAAACACAGATTGAGAGTGTGAATATTAGTTTTGGGATTATAACATTCTACGGCATTTCTCCTAAAACTTGGTACATTATATTAAAAGGATATCTTCCTGTTTTTTTACACTGCTTTCATGTTCATTTAAAAAATTTATTCCTTTTCTTATAAAATACTGTTGATTGGAAAGTTATAAACTAGAATCACTTGAAAAATTGTGGCAATGGAGTTGATTCGTATCCACAGTGACCCCATATGTGTCAGAGCAGAACTGTGTTCTATTGGGTTTTCAGTGGATGGTTCTTCATAAGTAGATTACCAGGCCTTCCTTTTGAGTCACCTCTAGGTAGATTCAAACCTCCAACCTTTCAGTTAGCAGCCAAAGGCCTTAACCATTTGTACTACCTAGGGACTCTTGAGTCACTTAGTTCTCCCATAGAAACTAATATCCTGAACCACTTGCTCTTATTCCATGTACAACCTATAACAAAACAACCCAAAATCAAACCTATTCCTATCAAGGTGATTCCAACTCCTAGTGACCCTATAGGATAGAGGAGAACTACCCCATAGGGCTTCCAAGGGTGTAAATTTTTACAGAAGCAGACTGCTGCATGTTTCTCCCATAATGGCTGGTGGCTTCAAACTACCAACTTTTCAGTTAGCCACTAAGTACTTAACAACTGTGCCAACAGGAATCATAGAATTTATACCAAGTCCTATTAATTATGAAGGCATTTAAAGCCAGGTGTGGTACCTATCTCCATGTACCAGCAGACTCAGCTATCATAAAAGAAAACGAATCTACTACCCATCCCCATAAACACCATAGACAATAAGACAAAATTAGATTTGAATATTTTAAAAGTAGCAGTTCAAGAGAACCAGGACACATTTCGATTTGATACCTCTTCCGCTAATATCATGACATCAATGTATGTGGCACCTAAAACCCACTTCTACCCTTACTATTCTTATCATATTTTAATAACTAAATATGTATTAACAGTGGGCACATTTTCAAGAGCATTAATATTAGGGGATAACTCACAGTCTAGTTCCAGGCTAATGTACTAAGTTACTGTGTACAAAACAAAACAAACTTAATGTGTGGGAAGTATTTTGAGAAAATGAACCAATAGTATGGATAATACCACTAAATACCCCATAGAATATCAGATTGAGAGGTGCATTAAACAATAACACTTTCATCTTTCTGTTTTTGGCATACTATTTGCCAAATTCTTGTCCAATGATCATCTAACTCCATGCTTTCCAACTCCAGGTGCACATTATCATCACTGGAGAAATTTTTAAATGTCAAGGCACCCAAACCCCACTCCTAGAGTTTTTAGTTTAAATTGATAAAGGTAGGTCCTTGGCATCTGTGTTTTTAAAAGAGTCTCAGTTGCAGCCAGTCTTGAGAACCACTAATTCACTTTCATTTGACCATCTTCACACATTTTCTCAATCTCATTCTCTAAATATATATTGTGGCTGATTCAAGTATCCCATTGCCATTGAGTCAATTCTGACTCATAGTGACCTATAGGGCAGAGTAGAACTGCTCCATAGGGTTTCCAAGATTGTAAATCTTCATGGAAGCAGATAGTCACATCTTTCTCCCATGGAGTAGCTCATGAGTTTGAACCATTAACCCTTTGGTTAGCAGCCCAGATTTTAACCACTGTGCCACTAGGACTCCTGATTCAAGTATCATGCTATGGATACAAGATAGAAAAGCCTTGACTTCAAGATACTCCCCACCTAGTTGGAGGAGGAACTGTGTATGTCTGTCAATACAGTTCAGTAAATAGCTAGATGAGATGTGGACCAGGGAACCATGACAGCCTCACTGAACCCTGCTTGAATGAGTCAGGGAAGGCTTCCTGGAGAGATGCTACTTGAAATTATCCTTGAAGAATAAACAGGAAA